TAAATTTCTGTGCTGTAAGTTATAAAACTGTAGAGAGCAAGCACCTTTGGGAAATCACCTTTTAAGTCCTCTCTCCCAAAGGGCATGATAGCGATCAGTCGATCACTGCTCGCATATTGATGTAAAGCCTTCTAATGACTTGACATCAACGGAGCTCAATGTAAAGTAGTTTCGATGATATGATCCATTCCCATTGAATTTTGATCAGGATGTAATTCAATTTAACTTTTTTATCACATAAGAGTAACTAAGCATCGATAACTAAAGAATCTGCAGCCCAAAGAACCTGCTGCTAAAAGAAGAAAAGGCAAAGATTGTGATGAGGAAGATGGCAGATGGCTACTATAAATTATAGAAGAGAAGAGAGGTTTGGAGGATACAGAAGAGCAAGAAGATTGAGCAGTTGAGAAAGATAAAAAAGAGAGACCAAGTGCATTTTGGTCAAAATATGAGCCAACTCGGGTTATTTTGAAGTTTTAGGATGGCTCACAATCACAACTTAAAGACTCAACTATTGTGCACTGTAGCTTGGGAATAAATACTCATTTGGATTTGTAATGTCGTAAAAAGCCCTATCAATGTCAATTATTAACATAAAATATATCATTAATCAATACCCATGTCTATATCATTAATGTATAAAGTATGTCTACAACTCCTGCATGAAAACAAAAAGGGAACGTGTAAAAGCTAATTTGCATAGAAATGGGTCCGAATACTAGTACAGGTATGGGATACAACAAATTTGTAAGAGGTAGGGTAGGGGGACACTACTACACACACTAGGTGATACGTACACACACTATCTAGGTGGGATGCACGTGCGTTGCACATGGTTAAACATTTTGATTTTTTTAACTTTATATCTTCACTATAATTGCATTGTGAACATAATTGTTTTGTAGGGCAGAAAAATGAGAAAGTTAAATCAAAAAGAAAGAAATTAAATTTAGGAAAAAGTTTTATAAAGAAATTTTGAGTGTTTGCATATAATAATACATAAATTCAAGAATAAAATGATTAGAAACAATCTACCAAATCCATGTGATTTAGGGTTGATAAATGAATGACTGATCCTAGTTGTTATTGTAGCCCTCACCTCAGTAAATTTTTTTAATCAACTGTCACCTATATATATGCATGTATTAATATATTTTTATTAATGCATATAGTTTATGAATAAATAGCAACTGAAGATGTATTATAATACATGTAGAAGGAATCCATGTTTTGCTCTTGTTGCAAAAGTAATTGTGCAGACGATGATCATAAACTAATTTCTAATGTTCCTCCTTTTTGAGTTTGTTTCATTATGATATTTCCTTGCCATTCAAATTCACCCTACTTTACCATATTTTGTGCAGCTCCAAGGTTCTTTTTATAAATTAATAAAATTTTAGGGATCTTTTTGAAGTTTCAGGATTAACATCATTGTAAATTTTGTAAATTTCTAGTGTTTTATTAAATTAGAGATTTTTCTATAAAATTTTGAAATGTTTGTAATACTAGATTTTTCTGCAAATTTTGTGAAATCTAGGAAATTTTTTAATAAGATTTTCAATATTTTGAAGTATTCTGAGTTTTCACAAGCTTTGTGAACTTTTTCGCAAAATATAAAATTTTTGAAAGTCGTTTGGACATTTTTACTAATTACGTAAGTTGTTTTTTTCATCTTCAAAATATGAAAGTCTTTTGAGTATTTCCACGGTTTGGGTAACTTATATAGATTTTGGATATTTTCCAGCTTGGTTAATCACACATAATTAATATTTTCCTCTTTAACTATGAAGATAATTTAGGAGGTGAGAATATTTCATAATATCATCTAATTATCTATATATTTATTTTTAAATTTAGATATAAATAAAATATAAGATAAAGAGTTCTATTTTTTACTTGTTAGGTACCAAATTTAAATCTTTAGCTCGTTGAAATTATAAATCTTCGTATGTTTTCTCCGGTAAATAAATTTCTTAAGTTATGAGATCTTCTATTTTGTAATTTCTTAAGAAGTGGTTGAACGTGGAGATTGAAAAATTATCTATAACTTGCATCTTATTAAACATATTTCAATTAATTAGAACATGATCACTATGAAATCATGTTACAGATGTATCTATTAATTAGGATAATTTGACATGTATGAAATGCTCTTCGATTTTTGTGCAAATTTTATAAAATCTATGATTTTTCTATAGATTGTGTAAAATCTAGAATTTTTTTTGCAAAATTTTCAATATTTTGAACTCTTTAGGGTTTTATTCTGAAAAATACAATTTCTGAAATCTTTTCAGTATTTCTACTCATTTTGTAAATTGGTTTTTCTTGGAAAACCTTCAAATTATGTTTTTTGAGTATTACTATGAGTTGGGTAAATTCTATGGATTTTGGATATTTTCTAGCTTGGCCATTCACACATATTTGTCTACTTAACTTCAAAGATAATTTAGAAGGTGAGAAAGAATATTTCATAATATCATCTTATCTTTATCTATATTTTAAATCTTAAATATAAAGAAACAAATGATAAGATAAAAGAGTTTTATTTTTATATGTTAGGTAACAAATTTAAATCTTATATTGTCAAATTTTTAAATCAATGCCTTTTTTGTAGTAAATAAATGGGTTTTTAAGGGGAACCACTCCCTACTTTAGACCCTATTTCACGTTACCACCCTTAATTACTTAGTTTTCCAAAAACTATCCCTATCTGTCATTCTGTTGAGATGGAACCACCTATATACTTTTTCATCCAGTTCTCCATCTGACAAATTATATTTTGACAATTTTACCCCTATATATGTTTACTTTTGTTGTGCTTTGACTATTTAAGTTAAAATTCCCAAATTATTTCTTATTTTAATTTTGATACTACAAAAGGTTTCTTTAGCCCAAAAAATAACTCAAGAGTCTAGTTCAATTTTCACTTTGATACCACAAGTTTTTTTCCCAAGAAGTTACCTCAAAGTTCAACAAATTTTAACTTTGCTACAAGTTCGATAAAATTTGATCTCGATAAATTAAATTTCAATAAAATTCAGTTTTGAACGCCAAAGTTAAAAAGAATTTAACTTTGATATCCAAAGTTCAAGAAAATTTAATTTTTTGATAAGCAAATTAAGCAAATTAAACTTATAGGGATAAAAACGTCGAAGCATTAATTTTTAGATGGAAAATTGAATGGAAAAGGGCGAGATAGGTGTTCTCATGTTAATGGCATGGTCGTTAGGGGTGGTTTTCTAAAACTTGAGAATTAATGGTGGCAATGTGAAATAGAATCTACGTTATTGGCGGTTTCCTGCAAAAACCGAAATTTTTGTAAGTTCTTACAATTTCTAGATAAGTGTTTAAATGTAGAGGTTGAACAATGATCTATAACTTAATATAATTTTTAATACAATTTTAAAAAATATATAATTTTTAATATACTTAAATCAAACCTTAGCTTATATACATATTAATTAGAATAGGATAGGATAATTGAAGCTTATACTTATTAATTAGAGTTAATTAGGATAGGATAATAATGTAATACCTACAAAGATCAGGGGTATTTTTGTTCATGGAAAGTATACCCCAAACTCCCACTTTTAAAAGGAGTGTGTGTGTGTATTAAAATTAAGAACTTACATGATGATATCAATATTCATCACATATCATGAGATTTATAATAAGCGCTAAGAGGGCTAGGTGTTTAAGTTGGGCCTAACGCCTAGGCATTTGACTATTTTTAAATTATTTAATTATGATAATTGACAAAAACATGAAGTAGTTTCATGAAAAATTGCAATAATAATAATAAATAGCAATCTTAGATCCATAATCAATCATGCATAAAAATAAATTGTTAGATTTTTGAATAAGAACAGTAATTTAAAACAAAATTCACTGATTACAAACATTAACTGAAATTGAACAAAAACAGTGAATAAAATGAAAATAGTGGAAAATTAACAAAGTTAAAAATGACCTTCAATAGAGGGAGGAGAGGGGAGCGACTTCCCGGAGGTGGCCGGAGAGGGAAAGGTGAGATGAGATTGCTAGGGATTTTGAGCATTTCGGAGAGGGAGAAGTGATGGGAGGAGCACCAAAGGGGGGATCGAAGAGGGAGGAGCGCCAAAGGGGGGATCGAAGAGGGAGGAGCGGTGCAAGGGAGAGATGGGAAGCGTCAGAGGTAGGATTGAAGAGTGACGAGCGGTGCGAGGGAGAGGTGAGGGAGGAGCGTCGATAAGCTTTTTTTTAAGAGAGCGGAGGGACAAAGAGGAATCAAGGGAGAGGGGTTTTTTGAGTTTTTAAGGGTGCGGGCCAGGTTTAAGGATGCGGGTCAGGTAAGGTTTTAGACGTTTACGGGTTTTTTCCCCTTTAAAAGTTAGCCGGCCTGCTCAAGTGGGTGGCCTACACCTAGGCGGACGCCTAGGCGTCTGCCTAAAACCTTTTGTAAAACACTATTTATAATTCCTAAAATATTTTTACGTTTCTATTTGTGTATTATATATTGAAGATCGCTCAGTTCTAAACTAGATAATAGATATCCAAACAGACATTTAAAATCATAGTTCTTAACTGGGTATGGGCTGAAACAAACATGACCCATGTCTAACAATTTTCAAAAAGTAGATGTGAAGCGTAAGATATACGTCCCATAAGTGTATAACGAGTGTTTTTAGTCAGGGGTGTGGAAATTGGAAACTGGAGCGAAGCGGTGAGTCACGGCTTAGGATTTTTGGGGCTTAAGTGGTTCTATACGGAAAAAAGTACCAAGTAGAAAAGCGGTCCACTTGAAGAATCAGTGGTGGCGGAACTTTGTTGAAAAGCTATTGGAGATGGTGAAAAGGGGTGCAGTTGAGGGAATCGCCAGTGGAGGAGCTTTGTTGATAAGCTATTGTGGTTAAGGGTTAAAGACAATGAAGAAAGAGGTTGTTGGAGGCTGGAGATTCATCAAGAAGCTGTTGGAGGCTATGATCGACAGTGGCGGTGCAAGAGTTGAGCTTTGAGGGGCGGTGGAAAGAGGAGGTGCACTTTGGGGGTCTAAAGTATTTTGGATTCAGCAGTAAATGGAAGAATCGCGAAGGCAAGAGAAAAAGAAAGGGGGATTAAATTATAAGAACGAGTTGAGGTCGGGTACGAAAATGTAGCCCAAACGTCCAAAATTCAGCACCTTTTTAGCACTTTAAAGTGCTTTTACACGATTTAAAGCGCCTTTTTAAGTAAGTAGCGCCAAGAAGGCTTAAAAACCACCAAAAAGAGCAAAAGAGAAGCGGCCTAGGGCTACTTACGCTTTAAATTTTTAAATTAAAATCTTTTTTAACACATGTATTATAAAATTGACTACATTCCCAAATAAACATATGCATATATTCAAGAAGTGAACTAACAAATATGATAGATTTGAGAGGTATATAGGTAACACACCCTTTTCTACAGTTAGCATTAAGCTAATTGCATTAAGCTAACAATTAGTGAAGAAAGGAAAAAGATAGAGGTATACTCTAGAATAGTGGCTAGAAAAAAATCCAAAACTGAATCAATTTCCTTAAGTTAGAATCAATCATTTATCATTTAACCAACCATGGGTTGATTAAATAAATAAGATACTGAATAAGAAGAATAATGATGAAGAAGATTGCATGTGAGAAGTGATTCTAGGGTATACGACCAACCATAGGATCGACAGATGATGATTGCATGCGAGACATGGTTCTAGGGCATATGACCAACCATATTGTACAGAACAAAAAATATTAAGAAATTAAGAGTCATGCCCAAAATAACTTAATGAGGAAGTTGAAGTTATGACTAGCAATATAATGAAAGATAAGATCAAAAATCAATGCTTGTATTAGAAGTTAAAGGCATCAACTAATAATATGAATCAAATGTGCCTAGGATTCATATAATGTTGAAATGCCAAAAGAAATGGGTTGATTAAATGAATAAGATACTGAATAAGAAGAATAATGATGAAGAAGATAACGACGACAATGAAGAGGAACCTGACAATGATAACAACAACAACAATCACGAATGATGACGATTATGATGATGAATAATAAGAAGGAAAATATGAAAGGATTTAAATTAACAAGAGAAGATGACCATTAACAGAGATGGAACAAAGAAAAATAGCCCATTAGCATAAGACAAAATTTGTGACAAAAAATTTGATTTTGGTCATAGTTGTTTGATGTTTTTATTTATGGCTTTTAATTTTTAACACAAAGTTTTACCCCCATTTATTTAAAAACCCACAAACTTGCATAAACACTCATGCACCCAAAGTACCCCATGTGACTTGTTTATAAACCTAATTTTTAGTATACCCTCAAACTTTATACTGCATTTTTTAAAAAAAAATTCTCAAATCCTAAAATTGTGCTTCTTCCCCAAATAAACCCAGCGCTTCTCTCATTCTCTCTTCCCTCATTAAACATTAAACCTTAAGAGTTGATCCCCAAATTCTAAGTGTAGTCAATCCCTAAAATCTACTGAAGTTGAGTAAAGTATAGCACTTTATACCAAAACATAACTTTTTATGAGCAAAGTATAACACCTTATAAAGAAGTATAACTCTTTATGACTAACATATAGCTCTTTATTATTATAGCTCTTTATTGGTTCTGGGACTACATGAAAAAAATTAATAGTTTGTAATATACTGTCAAGAAAATTGCTAGAGAAAATAGGGGAAGATCTAATATTCATTAGTCTAATTAACATAAAAATATGAAAGCCTAATAACTATTAATTTTGTATAACACTGTATTGGAAAACATAGCTTCCTATGAGCAAAGTATAGTACAACATACAAAAGTATAACTCTTTACGACTAAAGTGTATCTCTTCATCACTATAGTATAGATCTTTATTGATTCTGGGACTACAGAAAAGAAATGTTTAATAACTTCAAATAGAAATCATATTAAAATCAAATTATTGACTTTTATGAGGAGAAATATTAATGGGAGAGAGGGATTTTTTTAGGAAGAGGAAATTAATGGAGGAAAGAGAGATTTCAAAGAAGATGGATATACTAAATTGGGTTTTGGGGAGTGAGGGGAGCAACACGCAAAAATAAATTTCTCGCTGCATCACCATTAATGCGATGGGAGTGGAGCATGATCGCCCTTTAGAAGAAAAGAGGAAAGGGGAATTTTGAATTTGTTTTGAGAGATCTAGTATAAACTTTGAGGGTCTAAGAATAAGTCACAAGTTGGGTTTGAAAATAAATCATATGAGATGATTTGGGGGTATGAGTGTTTATGGAAGTGGGTGGGTTTTTAAATAAGTGGGGTTAAAACTTTGAGTTAAAAGACAAAAACCCATTTTATTTATGGCATGATAAAACCGATTATAGAAGAGGAAATGCATATTACGGTGTGTACTCCTTAACAACACATGCTCTCCAAATACGACCACAACATCATTATCTACAACAAGCAACACCACCTTTATCAAACTTCTGTTATCTGATGAACTTAAACATTTTGAGCCATCTAATGAACTTTTCTCTCATTCAGCTCTACCAATGGTTATTTCCTCGCTTAAATCAGAAACTATTATATCCTTTCTAATGGCCTGCATCCATGTTCATCTAGGCAGGCTTCTAGACCTCCTTTCTACATTAATTGTAATCCTATCATGCTTCCTAACCGATGCACTTATGCTCTGTGTTGTAATCACATCAAAATATACATAATGTAGTACTAGCAAGAGATGAAAAGAAGAGGATCACAACCCTAACAATTAATAAGCAGAAAGAAATAAGAAAACACATCTAAGATATAGAAGGCAAAATGTAAAAGATAAAGACAAAAGTCCTATCAACTACATTGTACAATGAATTTAATTCTTCATAGTATCCCACTCAATCTAAACCCTAGAAAAGCCCTAGAAACCTCAATCTCTCCCCCATCAAATCCAATCAAGAACAGGATCAGTTTAACAGAAAATAAATAAATAACAAATAAATAAAGAGATACAAAATCCAAGCACGCACCTTTGCAGGCCACGCAGGAAAACCCTTGATCTTAGCGAGAACAAGATCCCCCAATTTCAACGTCTCCTTCGCTTTTCCCTTGTTTGCTATTCTCCGCCGACTCGGGGCCATCGATTCGAACCTCGAAAAACCCTAACCCTAGAAACTCGACTCTTTCTTAGGGCTGCGGCGACTCGACCAACGCCGGCGGCGGAGAGGGCGGAGAGTTCCGGCCACCGATGGGTTAGAGAGCGGCGAGCTCAAGCAAGGGGAGCGCCGGCATTCGATGACAGAGAAGGAATTAAGATTTGAGAACAAGAAAAAGGAGTATAAAAAAAAGAGAACGAATTTGCAGTAAAAAAAATAAGGGTGGGGGAGAGATACAGGATATATAATCAGGGATATATGAGCATTAGGAGAGTTGTTTTTTATTGTTAATTTTTGTAGCCGTTGGATTGAGATCAGTGCCACTTGATCTGGGACAGCCAACGGTCAGGATTTTTCCTAGTTAGTTGATAAATTAGATTAACCTCTCACAAAATTGTACCTTCAAAATAATATAATAATCAGTATAAATCATTTTGAAGATACAAGCAAGTGTTTCAACCATTATTAATTTTCTTGGTAGAGGAGGTAAATTTGTAATATCTCTTTTATTTCTCAACTTTTTATATTAATTTGTTTGGGAAGTGTAAACTATGCGTACCTATGAAATTAAATTTCTTTGTTTAGAGAAAACACATGCCTAATCTTATATAGGGATTGCCACGCATCTTAATCTTCAAGCAACGGTCAAGAATCAATCACTCCGAGATGATCAAAAGCTCTCATGAATCACCTCGTGAAATACATGATTGAAAGAGAAAGGAAGAGATGGCAATTTTTTTTTTTTTGTATTTTGTTCTTCAGTAACATTTCTTTTCATAATATGTTCTTATTTAATGGGAGAAAAGAATCTAATTCTAATCCAATTAGAATTAGTCAAATATATTATCTCTAAGATAAGATAAGTCTCACTTATTTGGGTGTATCCTTATCCATCTATGACTAACATACTCTCATTCACAAATGAGTGGGTGTCATCCATAGCTCCCTGAGGCATTGACTCCCTAAGTCAAAATTTCCTGGAGATTCTCCTTCTTTTTCAATATTGCATCCATACATGTTAGTGCGGAGTTGACTGTTGAGAACATGCAAGCAAATAGTCTTGCAGTCAGATCCGTTAGGACCGGCACAAGGATCTCCCAAAAGAAATTTAAAAAAAATACATAACAAAAGTGTAAGTATGTGGTATCTCGTACCTAGATCTGATCAATCATGTCTACTCAAATACCTTCGATCCCTCAAAGAAACATACATGAACACCGCAGTTTACCCTCGATTCATCACACTCTTAGATCCTACGCTCGGCATAAATAAGAGTTGTGCATGTGATGCAATCAGGAGACATGCCAATCGATCTTCCTTTAGCCCTGAATAGTTGAGCGTGTTAATCACCTGCTTTCTTGACACTACCCCTTATGTGTGGCATTGTCTCATCATAGCAGGATATAGCAGGCAAAGTAGTGGGCGCTCATAATAGCCTTCCCATACAGCCCAGTGTCTCTAAGGGTACAATAAATGCCCCCCATTACTAGTGGTCGTCTATAAAGGTTCACACAGTGATGAAGCAGTGATCCATCTCTTGACCTCCTTATTTTCGGTCCAAGCACATGTCGTATGGCTACGTGCTACGATATTACTTCTCTCTCCCTGAGAGCATACATCATCAAATGAATATTGTACATATCCAAGTCTCGTTACCTCATAATGAACTTGTCCAACCATACCGCCTAACGATATGTCTGGGATCTTCCGACAAGCCTGCATCATGTGAGGTAAGTCAGACCCCTAGTATGGTTGATAGTAAACATGTAAAGTGGACGTGGGGTTTCCATTTCGGTCGCTTCAACATATAAGTACATAACAACATCATCCTGACCCAGGTAGGGTGACCAGTAGAGCGCTCCCGCTGTTGCCATTGCTCCAAGCCAAATGTCATCCTACACTTGGTCCCAACTTCGCCAATTGCCACAGCTCCGAAGGGGGTCTCTTGTGTGATAGGATCACCTATCTGCTAATGTAACTTTGTAATAGTGCACCCAATACTTTTTTTGTACCCTATACGCATTACATACAAATATACTCCATGCTAAAATAATCAATCAATAATAAGACATAAGCAAATCCCAGATATGCATAAATGTAGATGAGAAAATATCTATCAAAAATAAAATAATATCTCATAAAACTATCGTCTGTAGTATCATAAAAGTGTCTCAAGTCTTAACTAGAACAAAACATCACCACAAATGTAGCCCTAAGGCTCTAGTGTACCGAATAAATAACTCCTTGGCTATTCCCTTCGTCAGTGGATCCGTGATCATCTGACTAGTAGGGATGTACTTCAGCACGACCTCCTCCTTCTCATGCTTCTTGATGAAATGGCACTGAATCTGGATATACTTCAATTTTCAATGATACTTTGGCTCTTTCGAATAGGCAATCACAGACATGCTATCACAATGAAGGATCACCTTATCCTCTACATGTGGCACTATCGCTCTACATGTGGCACTATCGCTTGACTCTCTAAGAATCTATATAGTTAAACTGCCTCTTGTGTTATAGTGCATGCCGCTATATATTCTGCATCCATAGTGGAAAGGGCAATGCACTCTTGCTCCTTACTACACCATGAAATGGCTCCACCATTTAGTAAAAAGACATAACCAAACATTGACTCGCACTCATCCTGGTTGTCGGCCCATTTGGCATCTGTCTAACCTTGTAATCGAGTGTTTGAACCACCATAACAAATGTAAAATGAGCAGTCCTACTCAGATATCTGAAAATCCTCTTCACTCCTCTCCAGTGAGTCATACCAAGATTAGAATAATAACTACTCATCAGTCGTACTACAAAAGATATATCGGGTCTTGTACACAACATAACATACATAAGACTACTGACTGCACTTCTGTAAGGAACGGTTAGCATTTTTTCTTTTCTGCTTCAGTCTTGGGACATTGCTCTCAACTTAGAGCATAACTCTTAGCGATTGGAGATCCAATGAGTTTACAACCTTTCATGCCAAACTATTCTAAAATCTTCTATATGTGAGTCTCCTGAGACAAATCTAAGGTCCTCTTAGAATAATCCCTCGGAATCTGAATTCCAAGGATAAATCTAGCATCACCCACGTCCTTCATCTCAAAGGTGGAGGACAACCAACTACTAGTAGCATTAATGGATGTCTTGCTATTCCCAGCCAGCAATATATCATCAACATATAACGACATAAACTCAAACGTAGTACCAACTTAGCATATATAGAGACAATTATCTTGATCGATCACCAAAAGACCATAACCCAGTATGGTTCGATGGAATTGAAAATGCCACACCCTGGAAGACTATTTCAAGCCATAGATAGATCTCTTCAACTTGCACACCTTGTATTCAAGTTCTTTGGCAATGAAACAAGTAGGCTAGTTCATATAGATCTTCTCTTCTAGATCTCCTTAGAGAAAAGCTGGCTTGACATCCATCTGGACTAGTTCAAGATCCATCTTCGCTACAAGAGCCAATATCACGTGAATAGAGCCAGAAATAGTGTCCTCAAAAGATTTGGGGTTCTGTAATATCATGCGGTGCTAGCATGAATGCTTCCCTATCTATCTCAAAACATCGCCTGGGTACTAGTCCGCATGATGATCTCTAAGGTTGAGATTCCATAGATGGCTCCAAGTCATCTGCAGAAATGTCACCCCCACTGTCTCCAACTGGTAGAAGAACTTCTTCTTCTTCTTCCATCACTGGCTCCAAGATAGTCTCATCAGTCTCATACAAACCTAAAACTTAACCTATCTCTCCTCTGCGTAGGAAGTCCTCCGTGAGGAACTTAACATCCCTCGACTCTAACTCGGTTACAGTCCCATCATCCTACTCACCTATAAACACATATCCCTTAGAGTGTTTGGAATAGAATATGAAAATACACTTTCCTTCTAGGGCCCAACTTCCCATACCGATGAGAAGTGGTTGTGTATGTAAGCAGCACACCCCCATGGATGTAAGTGATCCAACACTGGCTTGTCGCCCGTCCATTTCTCATATAGTGCTGACTATACTGATTTTGAAAGTACACAATTCAGAATGTTTGCCACTGTTAATAGCGCATCTCTGCAAACAAAATGGGTAGATTGGCATGTACCATTATACTCCGAATCATATCACATAGGGTACTATTTCTCCTCTCCACAACACTATTTTGTTGTGGAATATAGGGCATTAATTATTAGCTGTCCGACTATTCCCTTTTCATCATATAATTCCCAAAATTGAGTGGATAGATACTCTCTACCACGATTAATGTGCAAAGCCTTAACGCATTTGCCTAATTGATTTTGAACCTCTCTCATATAGTGTTTGAAGCAATTCATTGCCTCAGATCAGTGTGAAATTAAATACATATGACTGTATCTAGAGTAGTTGTCTATAAAAGTGTGAAAATAAGGTGCTCCACTGCGTGCCTTCACATTCATAGGTCCACAGATATCAGAGTGTACTAATTGCAATGGAGCGGTTGCTCTCTTTGCTTTGTGAAATGGCTTTCTTATGGCTTTACCAGTGAGACAATGTTCGCAGGTGGATAGGTTTACCTTGGGGAGAGTACTAAGGAGGCCGCCCCTAGCAAGCCTACTCATATTGTCCTGCCCAATGTGACCTAGTCTGCTATGCCATAAATCGGATCCAATCATCGAACTTACAACACAAGATACAGTAGAAAATAAAGTAGTTTTATTGCCTACTGAAAAGTTTGTATCAAAAGCAAGTAAGCCATCAATCTCATGTCCAACACCAAGCAAAGAGTCAGTTAATACAAATTTAACTAAATCATTCTCAATATAAATGCCATATCCTAAAGACATCATTCTAGAAATTGAAATAGGATTCCTTCACAAGCTGGGGGCATATAAAACGTCCTTCAAGATCCACTCGTTCCCTAAATGGAGGTGAAGCCTATAATTGTTGATGCCCAGCACCTTTGCATATGACTCGTTCCCCATATGAATCTTCTTGCTTCCAGCTGGAATCTTCTTAAACTCTACAGAACCTGATCTACCCCGATAGATGTGGTATGGTTTTCTTGAGTCTACCAAGAAATAGTG